TGCTACTGTTTGTGAGATTCTCTTTTGAATAGTATTCGCTCATTGAACTGATGATAGGCAATCGCTCGCTAACACTCAAAGTGGGTGAATGAATAACTATGTTTAGAATTTGAATGAAGCTTTGAATTCAACTCAAACGACATCAGACTTACCAAGGCAGTGAAGTTGTGGTCTGCCTGCTCTCTCATGATCACGAATGTTCTGCGCTTGACGCATCCCCTTAACTTCATTTTTTGATCACAGAAACCGAGCGGTCATTTTTTTTTCAACTTAGCGAGCACCACAGCAGGAAAAAAACCATTTTTGAGTGATACAAAAAGAACATTACTTCCATCTTATGAGCTTCTCGAATCAAGGATTGCTGAGTTGACTAGGGGCCTGGAGAAATGGAAAGATGAAACCTTAATGCGTTCAAGACGACCACTTTCAGGTGGCATCCAAACATAGATTTGAAGACCACAATCCAGAATGAACACATCACCAAGATTCAACTCTTTCCAGTTACACTCGACCTGTATTTAAAACATCGACGCTAATTGCAATGAAGTGTAAACTGCGCTTGTACTGAGTGATTCTCTCAACTTTAAGAGAGATTTGAACGATAGTGATGCGCACAGATGAATCATGATATGTTATGTATCCTCTTTCAATGACTTTCACGCAAAGCGCTCTTTGCTCAAGGTATACACTCAAGAATGGCTAGAACTGAACAGTTTGAGGTGACTGAATTGCTGATTTATTCTTCAAATTGATTGTTGCTTACCTCACCTTCCCCAGCCCCACTCCCGATCAATCTTAGCCGATCATTCTTCAACTAGTATATGAGAATTTAACGGAGGTGTGTTATACGGAGCGATTCGCTTTCATTTGTAAACAAGCTCTATTCGTTATCACATGCTCACTGATATCAACAACGTAAACACATCCTCATAAACGTCTCGTCAAACAATGACAGTCAAAACATCGCTTAGTTAAAGCGTCATTTCTTCGAGCTGTTAACACATAGCATAACCTCGTTGAACAAGAAACTTCAGCAATTTATCCCACCTCTGTGCAACGCACATTCCTCTTTCCTTTACAGTGGAACAGACGTGGCTTCCAATTCTCATATTGATCTTTCACCGGTCTGAAACCAGATTCGGCACCTCCTTTCAGGTATCTGCAATGAATAAAAATGTTCGCTAGAAAATATCAAGCCGTCTGATCATTTGTGTGTTCATGTGCTGTTTTGAATTCAAGAGAATCATGCTCGAATTCGATGGCAATTTGCAATGCAGCAAATCTTCAGATTATTTTCGTTGTGCGAAAGGATTGTAAACAACAATCGGATGGGATAACGTTGCTTGCGTTGCTTTCAAAACTCACTTGATACCATCTTTGAAGTACGACAGAAATAGCGAAGATTCATGATCTTGCACCTGAAATATGCACACATTTCAGAGACACTTACAGCAACTGAATCGGTGAACTTCATCCACCTGATTATATCTAACGAATTGCTATCATTTATGAACACAGTTGGTTTAAACGACAAAAGACGACTTCATTTCGGGGAAGGGGTCAACTAACCACATTTACATATCCGAATTAAAAAACGCCATCACACCGACGTTCCAACTTAACATAACAGTTGCACGAAAGATTACTTTCTCGACCTCCAAATTACCCAAAATGAGTAATTTCACACCATATGAGAACCACTGGTCTATAGTGTAGAGGTGAGTGCATACCATCAGAGGGTGTTCAAGTTTTTTTCAAAAATATTACACGTTAACATTCACCTTACCTACTTTACACACATGTATGCGTTGAACTCCGTCTGCATCTACTTTAATGCACAAAAAACAAATCTTATCTCGCACCCCTTGGAATAACATTTCCCTTGCCCGTTGAGAAACAATATATGTAATGAAAACAGTGATATTATTCTGGTGGAACTCAATACCTCACGATATTGCACCGGAACGCCTCCAAAACTGTCATCAATTTCTACGGTTTTGATGGCGGCCGTTCCTCGTTCATCCTGCAGAAGTGAAAGATTAGTGGAAATTTCACCATATTTTCTGTGTATTATAATCTCGCTATCGAGTAATCTAAAGAATTTTTCAGTGATGAACAGCTGCGGAATACTGTCAGATGTGCTTCATGAATCTGTTAACCGTTTTCCCTGCTTGTTACATCTTCAGGAGAAAAAACCCTTCTCAGAAGAGGATATTTAAAGTTCCATCATCTGAACGAAAAATGCACAAGCCGCATATGTTTGCAAAATTTCAAAATATTTCTTGTTATTTTCGAATTTTAGAGATGTGATTCGCTGTAAAAAAAACTGAAACATATGTTGATGTAAAGTCATTTCGAAGTTCACTCACAATGGATGTCTTCTTTCCCAGCCAGAAATGAACGTTCCATACACCACGATCTTTCGTCTGCAACAAATAAAATTTAATTCGTTTTCACATTTCGACAGCTGATAGTTTATTACGAATCCAAAAAATGCTGAATAGGTGCATTAATTTCTCGTGAGTAATTTCTGCGTTTCCTTTCATTCTAGTCACCTAATAGTGATTTACGAAGCCTCACATAAAAACTGTCAGCTACCATCAAACAGAAGAAATGCTATCAATAAAACTAAAGAAATTGCACGATACGTTCTCTGTTTCCTAACAGTTCCAGTTGATCTGAGATAAGCAGGTTGATGAAAGTTTTGAATCCCACAATATCCTGTCATATCTCAACGGCTTATTGCTCAACAAATTAATTGTTGGTAGGACAGAGTAAAGCAATACAAGTACAAGCGTCGACAAGTATGTAAGAGTATGGATAAAATTTGTTCTTTGTTGTGGACAATATATCGATCAAGAATGAGTGAATGTTATATGGCAAATGTTTCGAAAGATTACGAATCCAACTGATTCTCATCAATTAAAATTCGTAAAAGAAACGAACATAGAGAACGATGTAGGAGTCACCCTCGTAAAAGTTTCCATGTTGTTCCACTGGGATTTCTTCGAGTTCGAATTTCTGAAAGAATTTCGCCGAATGATTATGTTTTAACTGTTTCACAACGTTCAAGTCTCTGAGAGATATCCATCGAATGAATCCCCTCGGTTTTAAAGTATTCTAAAACTACGCAGGCAGAAGAAACGATCTGTTTGAATGTCATATCAAATGACTTTGACTTGAGCCTCATCAGTGATTCGTCACATGTGAAAGAGATTTCCCAATAAATACGTTTAAGTTACGATCATT